CCCCCCCCCCCGTAAAGGAAAAGAGAAATCAGGGTGCCTGCCTTAATCCCATTAATTTATTTATATTCTTCGGAGTATTAATTATCAGTCCAAGGCCGATTTCAAATTATTGCAATTGCAGCTCCATTGTTCGCTCCAATTGGTGGCCCCGCCCCTCTTTTGTCTGGCGGCGCGGTGATTGGTCGGCGGCGGGTGGGGGCTGCCGTCAGCGCTCGGAAAGCCCATTCATCTGTGCACTTGGGCGTTGGACTCCGCATCTTATTAGCAACCAGGGAGATTTCTCCATTTTCCCCTTGTCTACAGTACGGCTACAAATCTGGGATTTTTTATTACTTCTTTTTTTGTACTAAACTTGGGCTTCTAATATTTTTGCTCGACTTTTTCCCTTCCATTTCCCCCCTTTTCTTCCTGTGCTGCTGCCTTTTTTTGATCGCTTCAGCTTTATTTTTTTTATTCAAAAAACCCCCCCAGGAGTCTATATATAAATATAATCGGTTCTCTTCTCTTCCCCCCCCTCCTCCTCCCCCTCTGGTGTGCTTGTGTGTGTGCGCTGCTGCTGCTCTTCAGGCTGCTGGTCGACCAGCATTTCTACGAATCCGCCGCTCTTTGTTTCCTCTCCTCTTGGATCTGTTGAGTTTCTTTGTTGAATAAGCCAGCATGGGTGCCCAGTTCTCCAAGAACGCTGCAAAAGGCGAAGCCGCTGCCGAGAAACCCGGAGAAGCAGTGGCTGCATCTCCTTCCAAAGCGAATGGCCAGGTAAGAAGGGGAGCGTGGATTTTATTTTTAAATCTTGCATTCCGTGTTATAGTGCTGCTTCCTTATTTCTCCTCGCCGCGGTGTGCATTTTAAAAGCTGACCTCAACCCCTTCTCTCGCTCTGTTTTCAAATCGTTTAAATGGAAAGGTGTGGCTTTTTTCGCACAGTTTTGCATGTACGGACTTGGTTTTTAGGGTTCAAGCCTGTGTTTCAGACTCCCTCCTTATACCCGATCTTTAAAAGATAATATGGGAGGGGACAGTGTAGGATGCCTTCTCTTTTGTTCGAAGACAATGTGGTTCTGTACTTAAACTGGGGGCATCTTTGTCTTCATGGCTGGAGGATGTTTGCGTGCATGTGTGAGATCCGAGGGTGATAATGGCTGTCTTGATGGACGGTCTCCCATGGCTTCCTATACTGTAACGCTCTATTTTCGTCTCCCTCTCCTTTGGCGCGTGGGGGGGGTCATTGGTGATAAGGCAATGGCAAGAGAAAACGGTGGATGGGGGGGGGGCGCTGGAGAGTTGTCTGTGTTGAGGAAGGGGTTGTTGACGAGATCTTCTCCATCTTGCCTGCTGTGTTTCTTGCTCGGTTCATAGCCTAAGCTGAGTGTTCGTGTGTGTGTGTGTGTGAGAGAGAGAGAACTCTGCGAGGAGGAAGCGCCCGCGCCTGTTCTATTAACTGTTGCTATGGAATGCAGCCGAGCGCCGACCCCAGAGGGGTAACTGCAGGGCAGGTTTGGGCTTTCGCGCGCGGCGTGCCTGCGGCTCGGTTCCCCTGCTTCCTACCCTGTGCTTCAGCCCGGCGCGCGCGGTCTAGCCCGGGCTTGGCGACAGCCTGTAGAACAGTGAGCGGCGACGGCACCACGCCTCTGAGGCTGCAGCTGCTCGACTGGCTGTTTTCGCCCGTCCTTCGGGGCTTCTCCCCTCCCCTTCGAAAGCGGAGGCTGGTGGAAAAGGCAACAAATGCGATAGAGCCTCCGGTAGGCAGACAATGGCGGGAAGGAGGCATTCTTTCTCCAGTGTTTGTATTGGAGGCGGGGAGGGGGAGAAAGAGGACCGGGTCGGTTGGGGGAAGCGACATAGAGCTTTGTTCGCCTCGGCTCCGCAATTCTGGCCGAGGCGCGAGCGAAGCTTCCTTCTGCCCCGCCAGCTCGTCGCTTCTAGTCTCCTCCCTCCGTGGCTTCCTCGATTCCTCCCTCCCCGCGACGCTTTTTCGGTCCTTTTTCTAAGGTGGAGCCACAGTGCCCTCTGGAGGTGGAGATGCGAAGTAGCGGCTCTGCTTGGTCTCTGGAGCGATGGAGGAGATTAGTTTAAATCGCCCAAGGGAAACGTGGACAGCTGCCGCCCTGTGTTTCTCGAGGCTGCCCGAACTTCGGCCCTACCCTAAGATGTAAGGTAGCTGGAGTTCAGGGTCTGAGTCTGCATTGCTTCTCGCCTGCTGTCAGACGCTTGAGAATATGTCTCGCTTTTCCCCTCTCCTCATAAGAAAAGCCACGGGAAAGTCTGGCATTGTGCATTGTGCAGTTATGATAAAGAAACACTTTGGCTCTGTTCCGCTCCAGTTAATATTACTAAAAAGGCATCTTGTGGCACCTGAAAGACTGCTGGGTCTTGTAGCCGCAATGCAAGGCTCCCGTTTCTAGTTTGTTGCCACTGACTAACCTGACTGCTGCTGGAATCTTAATGTTAAGAAGCCTGTGTGATCCAGGTCATCTAAATAACCAACCTGGCACTTGCTCAGAAGGGTTGGGGGGGGTGCTCTAGAATAAGATGCGAGGGAAATGGGCATGGTCTTCAGAAGGCATGGTAGATCTTCCAGCCAATAATGCCTCGTTAATTTCTTCCAGGAGAATGGCCACGTGAAGGTGAATGGCGATGCCTCGCCAGCAGCTGCAGAGGCAGGCAAAGAGGAGGTCCAAGCCAATGGCAGCGCGCCAGCAGAGGAGTCAGTGAAGGAGGAGCAGACCCCTTCCGAGCCAGCCTCTGAGAAGGAGGCGGCAGAAGCAGAGAGCACTGAGCCAGCCTCTCCTGCGGAAGGGGAGTCTTCCTCGAAGACTGAGGAGGGAACTACCCCTTCTTCTAGCAATGAGACCCCGAAAAAAAAAAAGAAGCGCTTTTCCTTCAAAAAGTCCTTTAAGCTCAGTGGCTTCTCCTTTAAAAAGAACAAGAAGGAGTCTGGGGAAGGAACCGAAAATGAAGGTGCGGCTGCTTCCACAGAAGGAGGCAAGGATGAGGCAGCTGCTGCCCCAGAGACTGCAAACAATGAGGAGAGCAAACCTGCCCCAGAGGAGTCCTCTGCTGTGGCTGCTGCTGCTGCTGGCAGCTCAGAGGAGACAAAGGAGGAGACTGGTGGCTCACAGGAGGCCAAATCGGAAGAGACTGCACCACAAAACCCTTCAGGAGAAGAGGGTAAGCCGGCCGAAGAGCAGCAGCAGAAGCCTGAGGAGAAACAGGAAGAGGCGACCGCTGCCCCTAGTGCTACCACCGAAGCCACCTCAGCTGAACCAGAGGCGCCCAAAGCAGAGGAGCCGGCGGCAGCTCCAACACAGGAAGCCCCATCTGAGTCCAGTCCAGAAGCTCCACCAGCTGAGTCGGCAGAGTAAAGAATTGGCAGTTTTGCAATGATTGAACTTTTCTTCCCCCCCTGTTTGTTTGTTTGGAGTGGTGCCAGGTACTGGTTTTGGAGAACTTGTCTACAACCAGGGATTGATTTAAAAAAAGATGTCTTTTCTCTTTTTTTGTCTCTACCCGCAGATCCCATCTCAGATCATTCTGTTACCACCATTCCAAATTGGTAGAGGAGAGACTAAGTGTCTCCCTCCTCCTCGTTCCTCTTTTTTTTTTGCATCAGTATTAATGTTTTTTGCATACTTTGCATCTTTATTCAAAATGTAAACTTTTTATTTCCTCTGTCAGTCTATGGACATGCCCATATATGAAGGAGATGGATGGGTCAATAAGGGATAGCAAATGAAGTGATAGGGGTCACAATGGGGAATTAGTGGTGCAGATAACTTGCCAAGAAAATGTGCCACAAGAAATAAGGGGTTAGTCTTTTTTAAAAAGAAAATTATTACAATGTATTTTGTGAGGCAGATGTTCTATAAGGTTTACAACACTACAGATCTTGACTAAGAAGGAAAAAGAAATTCCAATACTCAGATTTTAAAAAAAAATCATAGTCTTAGGAAATTCATTTAAACCATAGGAACTTTTCACTTATCTCATGTTAGCTGTACCAGTCAGTGATTAAGTAGAAATACAAGTTGTATAGGCTTTATTGTTTATTGCTGGTTTATGACCTTAATAAAGTGTAATTATGTATTACCAGCAGGGTGTTTTTAACTGTGACTATTGTATAAAAACAAATCTTGATATCCAGAAGCACATTAAGTTTGCAACTCTTTCCACCCTGCCCATTTTTTTTTGTAAAATTGCAGTAATCTTGGACCTTAAAACACACACACACACACACACAATTTTAAACTCAACCAAGCTGTGATAAGTGGAATGGTTACTGTTTATACTGTGGTATGTTTTTGATGACAGCAGACGATGCTTTCTTATTCCAGTTGTCTTTGAGAATAAAGGAAAAAAACCAATTTCAGATGCAATGGTTTTTGTGTAGCATCTTGTCTATCATGTTTTTTTGTAAATACTGGAGAAGCTTTGACCAATTTGACTTAGAGATGGAATGTAACTTTGCTTACAAAATTGCTATTAAATTCCTGCTTAAGGTGTTCTAATTTTCTGTGAGCACACTAAAAGCGAAAAATAAATGTGAATAAAATGTAGAATTTGGCTGTGTTTCTTTTTCTGGATGCTCTTGATAGCTTAGTAAGTTGACTGTAATGTCTAAATTTGTATAAAGTGGCACTTGTTTGCCATTAAATGTTACTCTTGATTTCTAAATAATGGAACGTTGGTCTTCTGGGCCCTCCAAAAACAGTACCTGTAGAACAAAGATCTTGAAGGGCTTGTAGATGCATTAGGTTTAAGCTAAACAACCTGTGCCACTCTGGATACTTAATTGGCTAATATGAGATTTGAGAAAACAGAAGACAAACTAGAATACGTTCAAAACAGGCTTGCACCAGTTGACTTTAGCTAGAGTGGTTGTGTATGTAAGCAAAGCCTTAAGGACCAGTCTGTGGTACACTAGATTATCTATTATCTTGAGTTGACTTGACACTTTGGCTGTGGTTGTTTGGAATATCAGAAGCCTCAACCTGAGTTTTCAAACATGGGTACCTGAATTCAGGTATCAATACAGCAAAGGTCTAATCTTACATGTAAGTTGTTAACCATTTCAATATATACTTCAGTGCTTGACTTTGAGCATATGCAGCCTTGGAAGTCTGGCCTAAAGTAAAAGCTTTTGTTCTACCAAATTGTTGAGCAATATTTTTTACTCTCAGCCATAGGTAACAAAAAAAATTACTACATTTGTCTATAAAATAGTCACTTGGTGCTTGCCTTTAACTGTTCAGACTTTTGGGCTAATTTCCACCATATTGCTCAGGGCAAATTATGCCTTAATAAAACAGTAGGCTTTTGTAAAAACAAACGCAGAATAGTAGTGTTGGAGGGTGGAAATTGATTCAAGGAAGTGTTGCTCCTAGGTTTTAATAGGTGAAATTTAGTGTTACACTTAACTTGCTTCCATCTATGTTTTCAGCAGTAACTTGCTTTGGAAGCAATTACACTTCATTTTATGAGAGAGTGGCACATTAGCACCTTGTTCCCTAAAGAACAAAGTCAGAGCTGAATGAAGTTCAATGGATTCCATACTGAATACATACTCTTATTCAGCCGTCCACGTCTTTTATTTTTTATTTTTTGTGGCTTGTATATATACTCTGGTCACCCTGGTATTCTCTGTAGTGTTAGAAATGTATTGACTTATTATGCTTTAAATGGCCATGGGATGAAATAAATGGATGTAAAATGAGATCCTCCATACCAGTGTCATTTTTGGACTTCATTGGTTGGGGTACTTTCCATGCAGAACTCTTTTTAAAGGGTTTATAACATTAAGGTTGTGAATTTCTGTTGCGTGGCTTAGCTCAATATTTTGTTTAAAAAGCATTAATAAAGGCAGTGAATTTTGAATGGAATTCCTCCCTTCTGAGTTGCACGAGCTTAAGTTTTATACCTACTTCAATATACATAAGTACATTGAGTTCAGTAGGATGTAGGGCCATTTTGTATTTTCAGGTTTATTAAGGATATTGGTGAATGAAAAAGCATGTATCAAGTAGACATGATTAGCTGCAGCCTTTTGGCAGTATACTGTATGATTTATTTCCCTTCAATTAATATGTTAAGTTGCTCTCAAGAGTATAGATTGAAAGACCCAATTTCTTAATATTCTTTTTTTTTGTCTCAACAATAAATGCCTACCCCAAGACCAGTTCTAGGTTACTTCTAGGGTAGTAATTTTAAACCCATTGACTTCTGGATTTAGATGGATGTGACTCTGTTTACTGCTACAGTGTATTCCTAGATAGAATGATTCCAGTCCAAAGACAATGAACTTCTGTGGATGTAGATGGTACATGTATCTTGCAACGAGTAATAGTGTTGCATTCTTTAAGTTTGTGTCATTTACAGTTTAGATGTATGTTTTTTACTACTTTCAGAACATGTCTGGTTTATATGAAGCACAATTGTGAGTAGAATAAGGTGGTTCTGTTGCTACTAGTACACTGATCCCAGACTAAAGTTGGCTATTTAGCCTTGGCAATAATACTCTCTTCTACTTGAGTCAGTTAAAATGGACACCACTGAAAATAGCTTATCTAGATAAAATGGTGGTGGTTAAGTAATAATTGTTATGTAAACAGTTTACCATAGAAATGGCAACTGTTGAATAATTTGAACAGCAAGTAATTTATATAGACCTTAATGCACAAAATTATTGAAGTTGCAGCCCCAAGTACCGTAGCTTTGTGTTGTTTCCTTGATGCAACTTACTAGGGTGTTCTGGACTGGAATGCTGATGTCTTACTTAAAAAGGGGAATCATGACATAATGATCTAAGGCTGAAATCTTAAGCATTCTTGGAAGTAAGTACCAAGATGTTGACTGCATTCTTTAGCATGCTTACTTCAAAGCCACTGAAATATTATCAGAATGTGGTAAATAAGACAGGCTTTGAATTTCATTGCTCAATTCCAAGCTTACTGATTCAGTCTTGCTGATTTCAGTGGCATTCCTACTAAATGTGTCAAAGATCACAGCCTTGGGGTGACTGGCCTAAAGCTGATCTCTGAAGCCAAGTTTTATTTTTGGTGCTCTGTTTCCTAGCTTACAGTGGTCCTAACGGAGTGACACTTTCCCCAGCTTCAGACTTTAGCCAATTGGATGATTTGCCATGGCTAACTTTAGAGGAAATTTCAGCTCTGGTATGCTCTGTACAGACCAATTCCATTGTAAAGAAAATAGTGGTTGTGTTGTGTGGAGATTTAGCCAAATAGGTTTTTTGCCCATTACAGTGGTTGCAGGAATCTGTGGGTTTATTAGTACTTGTTCAGCAGAATGTCATTAACACAGAGCAGCCCACGTTTACCATTTGTTTTGATTTGTCTTCTTCCTCCAAGCAGCTCAGAATGGCATACTTGTTTCCCTTGCATCATTTTATTCTCACAACTGTGTGGTGTAGTTAATGTTAGGCTGGGGAGGAAGTGACTGGCTCAAGTTCACCCAGTGAACTTCACCCTGAAGTAAGTATTGCAGTCTGGGTCTCCCAGGTCATCATGAACCTTGCACAAGATGTCTTTCTGAAAATCTAGCTTGCTTACTAGTTGTGTGGAATCTGTTGTATATTGAGATCCATTTGGTAACAAGACTCCATTTAATTCTTTAAAGCAAGTTGGCCATGGGGCTTGCATACATTTCTAGAAAACTACCAATTACCAATCATCCTAAAATTTGCTTTCTGTATGAAGATGTTTAATCTGAGAATGAAAGAAAAAATGTCAAGTGAAAGTTCGCATGACTCTCCAAAGAAATTTTATTTATTTAAAACATTTTTATGCCACTTTTCCACCCAAGTTGTGAGCATAGGGTTATTTCTGATGAGGTGTTTTCATAATTATTTATACCTCACCTCCCCAGTTGGGACTAAAACAACTTACATGGTTCACCTTTCCATTTTATCCTTACAACTGTGAGATATGTTAGGCTGAGAGTGACTGATCCAGGATCACACTCTAATGCTACACCATACTGATTTTAAAATTACTTTTGCTATAGTAACTGCTGGCTTCTAATAGACTTGATGGTTGATTCTTCCCTACCATTGGAGCAAACTGATACTCTAAACAACTGTAGTTAAGGATCCCCTTATTTGTAAATTCCATAAAGGGCTGCAGGTTGAGAATGAGATTGATCTGATGTTATCTTTGAAGTACTGTCCATTTCATGCAGCAGGATCGTTGGCTGGTTCTAGACCATATCCATTGGCAAAAGGCTTGGGGTTGGCTCCTGCCAGACAACAGCAGAAGAGAAGTTGTCTTCTGTGAGGGGTATAGAAGGGCTGCTTGCCAGATAGTTAGGAGTAAGGGGAGGTTGCCCCAGGTCTGGGTGATCCCAGCCATTGTGGGTTGCTGGAATTTTCACTTCTTCATCACCTTAGGGTACCCGCCCTTGCTCCATCCCCCCCCCTCCACTGACGGTTTGCTTTAGAGTACCCAGCCTTCTTCCACCCTCCCAGCTGACTTCTCTACTATTCCTTTTGCCTTCTTCGGGGCTGTAGGGGTGCATTGCTGAGTGTCCATGTGGCATTTTCCCAGTGCAGACTGTATTCCCAATTAGTTTAAAAACAAACAAAAACACTGCACTGTTTTGGGGAATGTTTATGGTTAATTGGTTATTACGTACATAGTAAAGAATACCCACAAAAGTGGAGTTGGGGGAGCAGCAGAACTGGCCTAGGTTTGAGAGGGGCCGGCTGTGGTGCCTGGGGGGTTTAAGGCCTTGCTGGTACATCTTCTTTGTTGGTTCATAGACTGATAGAGAGTTTCACATATATTTACATAGTTAGACAAGCAGATAGATAGGCAATTGGATAGGTGGGGGGAGGCTATAGGAGAGGCTACTGAGTAGACTGCATCTAGGTCCTGGTGATCCTGGCCATAGTGTTTATTTATTTATTAGATTTTTACCCCGCCCTCCCAGCAAAGCCGGCTCAGGGCGGCTTTGACAGCTCAGGGCGGTAAGCTCTTCTTGTTGCACTGAGCTCGGTTTTGCTTTGTGGTGCAGTCTTCCTGTAGCCCTTAATCTATGACTGTGGCTGGGTACTGGATCAGGGGAGCTCTGTTCCTGACAGCCTGTATTTATGCTCCAGGGTGTCATATATTTGTCACTGATCACCTGTGTTTGGGTTTCGGTGCAGCATGCCACCAAAAAGAGCTACGCGTCAAGCAAGGGTGGCTACCACTTCACCACCGTGAATCAGAGGTTGTGGTGTGTGTGAGAAGGCATCCAATATCACCACTTCTGTGCATCAAGCAGCAAGGTGGCTAGCGGTGCAGAGCAATGGAGGACAAGCCACAGCCAGGAATGACAACACCCTGCAAGGTCTTTCTTGGGTGGTGGAGCTCCTCACTAAGTGGCTAGATCACCTGAACAACAGCCAATGCCAGAAGTGCACCAAGAAATCCGGAGGCGAAAGGGGCAGGTCCCGAGTGGAGAGGAAGAGCCCACATATCAGACAATATTTGGACAGTTTTCTTTTTGTTGGCCCAGCAGATAGTCCCACTTGTGGGAAACACCTGGCTGCATTTCAGGCCCTGGTGGAGGAACTGGGGAGTCCTGCTGGCCCATGACAAGACCAAAGGTCCCACAGCATAGTAAACTTATTTGGGCATTCAGTTGGATTTTGTGGAAAGATCATTCTGCCTGCTGGAGGATAAGCTGCTGGCACTACAGGCCACTGGCACAGGCCAAATGCACACTGAAGGAGCTGCAATTGCTCCTGGGACATCTTCACTTTCATTGGGTAGGGCCTTCTGTGCACGCATGGCATGGGCCATGGCAGGCGCTTCTGCACCAGATCATCACATACAGGTATCCAAGGGCATGAAAGAGGACCTCGGAGTATAGCTAGCCTTTCCTTCTGGGTATAATGGGGTCAGTATTTGGCAGAAACTGCTGGATTTGGACAACAGCATCCAAATTCAGTCTGATGTGGATGGTAGCAGTGGTTTTGGGGTGTATTACAATGGGTGTTGGTGTACCAAACCCTGGCCAGCCACTTTGGCAGGGACAAGCATACATTAGGACCTTACCTTCCTAGAACTGTTTCTCATCCTCATGGCGGCAGTTCTCTGGCAAGGCCAGTTTCAGAACAAGAGGGTCAAATTCTGGTGTGACAACCAGGTGGTAGTGAGGGTGGTGAATAAGCAGACATCATGGTCAGAGCGGGTTATGCGCCTGGTACACAAATTGGTCCTTGTATGGTTTGTCCGCTAATATAATGTTTTCAGCTCACCATGTAGCAGGTGTCAATAACAGCATCACAGATGCCTTGTCTCACCTTCAGGAGGAGAGGTTTCACAGCCTGGTGCTAGAAGCCAGTCACTACCTGGACCCATTTCCCGAGGAGCTCTGGGAAATTGGGAATATACCATAATGAAGGGAGTATTTCATTCAGTTGCTCCTTCTACATTTTGCTGTTATTCAGTGGCAACCTCAGCCTTTCTGGACTCTCTGCTGGCCTGGGAGGTCCAGACACCTGGCCGGTATCAGGGCAGTTAGTCCTTTGGTACATAGTTCACTTGCAGGAGTGGCACATGGCCACCATTTCATTCTTTAGCAAGGCCCATGGCTTTGCTGACCTGTGCAACATTTTCACAGCTTGCTAAGCAGTGGAAGGGTGAAGGAGGCTCTCTCCCAGAGCACTTGACCCACGTAGGCCCCTGACATTCGAGATCCTCACACAGCTGGTGC